AACTCACAACGATCCTCTGCCTCAGCCTCCTGAGTACTGGGATTACAGGTGTGTGCCACCACGCCCGGCCCAATCCTTTAATCATTAATTAGGCTATTTCTGTGGTTGTTAAGCAGACTGTAAATGTTGCAACAAACAAGAAAATCAGTTACCCAAAGACATCAATTAGAAAGCACCCTCACAAAACAACAATTTAACATTTTCTTCACCTGTGAAAGCTTGCTTTATATGTGCCTATCTGAAATTAAGTACTCTCCAAAGCAAGAATGTCTTTGAAATGTACTGAATCAAAACCATTTAATGCTCTGGAGACAAATATAGCACTTTGGAGAAAAAAGCATGTCTCAACAGCACTCATCATAGACTAGTTCTTATAGGTTCCTTCTACAGCAACTCATTTAATACTCTCTAAACTCAGGGAGGCTAGTAGTACCACGATCTTCATTTTACAGATGAAGAAACTAAGACACAGAAAAATGAAGTCAGAGCCCAGCATGGTGGTACACACCTATAATCCCAGCGGTAGGGAGGCTGAGGCAGGAAGATCGTTGCAAGTTCAAAACCAGCTTAAACTACAAAGTGAGCTCAAGGCCAGCCTGAACTGCATAGTAAGACCCCATCTCAAAAAGACAAAAAAAAAAAAGAAAAAGAAAAGTCAGATAACACTGCTAGGAAATGACAAAGTTGGGGTTCAAACCCACACAGCCTTCCCCAAATGTTAGTAACTGAAAACTATTACCGTATAATAAAAACCCTAGCTATCTATAATCCCTTGAGCAATTAACTCTTAGGACTAATAGTATTCTTTCACATCTGGGGATTCAATCCTTCGTCTGACCCAAAATCTGAAATTGCACAGGTCATCTGATGGCTCTTAACCATAGGTGGCTATGAGAACTTGAAATGCAGTTAACACAAATTAAAATGCATACATGTGCAAACTACGTTCTAGCATTTGAATTGATACAAGAAAAAATTTTAAAATACATCACTGAAAAGTGTTCTAATATTAATTACATATTGAAATGGTTCAGATATAATGGGTTAAATGAAATACAATATCATTAAAATTAATTTCACCTATACCTTTTTATGTTTCCATGTGTCTCCTAGAAATTTTAAAATCACATTTGTGGCTCCAATTATGTTTCTACCATATACAGTTCATCCAAAGTACACCAGCAGTTGTCTATAGCCCTGATGTTATTTACTCCTTTCTGATGACTCAGGCACCACAAGGAACTTTAACTACACCCTGGTGTGATCTGTAATTGTGATGCCTGGGGTGCAGACAGGTCAGGCTACCCTCCTCCCTGCAAGACCTCAGACCACAGTCTTGGGCACGCTTGATATTTACCTCGGTGTCACCTCCATCCTGAGACCAAGCTCTCCAGTCGTCTGTCTGCCCACAGCCATACTCTGCCAGCACCCACATGCAGCACCCGATGCCAGAGAAGCCAGGTCAATCAGAATTGTGTGATACAGAAAAATAGGTTCTGGAAAGCCTTAAAGAAGCCTACTACAAAACAATCAATTCTGCTTCAATGTGCAGGTCCTTTTGTGTGTACATGGTGCGGAGAGGTACCAGGGCCTCACAGTGAGCTACACCCCCAGCCCTTTTTTAAATTTTGAGACCAGGTCTCATTTAAGTGCCCAGGCTAGGCTTGAATTTGCCACTCTCCTGCTTCTGCTTCCCAAGCAGCTGAGATTACAGGTGTGCCATGGGTCGGCCTCCCTGACAATTACTTTGACTGATCAGAGCCCAGTCGACTCAACACCTCTCCAGCTCCAGACATAAGCACCAGCTTTGACTAGAGCACCTTACAACTTGGCTTAAAGTTCAACAGCAGTTTCAGTTTGAAAAGAGGAAAAGTCCTGCAGATGGATGGTACTAAGCTTGCTGAGCAATGTAAATGCACTCATCCCCACCAAACTGTACGCAAGTAGTGAATTTTATGTCAGGTGTATGTTACCACAAACACACATACATTTCCTCCTTCACCATTTTCTATTTTCTTTAGAAACAAGGTTCTTTCATTTGGTCAGTAAATACAGTACTTACTGCATGCCTGCCAGGGCCCTTAGGTTCTGGCCTCCCCTTGGCCTGCTTGGCCTCGTGCTCCAGGGGCCTGTCCTCAGTGCCCCCCCTCAATCCCCCAATGGAGACCTCAGAGCTCTGCACGTGTCCTCATGTCACCTCCGCTGACTCTTCCCTGACACGCCAAGGATGCAAAGACCCAGCTCAAAACTGTGCCCTGCACTCTAATCTGAATGGCATTGTTTGTTTACTTTTTTTTTTTTTTTTTTTTTTTGGTCTTTTTGAGACAGGGTCTCGCTGTGCAGTTCTGGTTGGCTTGAGCTCACTTTGTAGCCCAGGTTGGTCTTGAACTCGCAAGGATCCTCCTGCCTCAGTCTTCCAAGTGCTGGGATTACAGGCGTGTGCCACCATGCCTGGCGTTTGTTTACATCTTGTACTGTGAGCTCACTGAGCATAGGGTAGACCCAGCATGTAATTAATGCATCCTAAACGCTTACTGAGTTCATTTGGTCAGTAAATACAGTACTTACTGCATGCCTGCCAGGGGCCTGCACCAGGACACAGCAATGGGGAAAGAAGACAAAACCCTGTTTTCATGGAGCATCCAGAGATAAACACAGACAGACACTATACCATAAAAACAAGCAAAGCTTGGTAAGGGAGGGACACTTCCTACAAGTGACCTGTGAGTTGCCACCTAGGTTCTGGCCAGCTCACTGATAAAACACTGGGGACATGCCTCATATTCCAGTTCACGCTGAGTCTGAACAAGTACTGGACCAAGAAGGTAAACCAATTTCTAAGAAGAGTAAACCATTCCCTTGCCCCATCAACTCGCCCTCTCAATGACCTCCCAGCCCTCTCAGCATGAGGGACGTGCT